ATTAGCATGGATCTTAGCTCAGGGCTTATCTTCCTCACAAAAATAAATAAATAAATAAAATAAATAAAAAAGAAAGCAACCTTCTTTAAAAAAAAAAAAAAAGATCAAGATGTTTGAGATAATATTTTATGAAGAGGTCATGTCAACTTTCCCTGAATGGTTTTTGGGAATGGATGATATGTCCAGCTGGGAATGCTTCCCCTATACAGTATTATAAAACTGAGACTTGTTGATGGAATCCTAATAGAAACTATGATTAGAGATATTAGAGTTGATAAAATTGAGATAAAATTTTGTAAGAAAAAATTAGTATACTTAAATGTATTTGATATGAAATGATGGCATCTCTTTTGCCTGACTGTATTATAGAGTATGTTGTAGGGGAAAACATTGTGTCTTGCTGAGGAATCTTTCTCCTGCCGGGCAGTCTAAGAACTTATAAGTCCATCCTTCAGGTAACATTAGTTAAACATGCTAAAGGAGAGCTCACTTTAAAATGCCAAAATGGGACAATTCGGTTTACTGAAACTGATGTAATTGCATACGTAATTGGCAAAAGCCAGCTATGAAATTAAACAATCAATGGGAAGCCGCTTTAATATGTTGAGGCTTCTAAACAAAATCAGGAAGACATTACTGCCTCTTTAGACGTCAATCATGAAATAAAAAACATGTCAGATTGGAGGGTGTCAGTTGTACCAGGGACTTGCTACTGAAACAGTATGAAATCTGCTGTTCCTCTCTCCTCTCTGGCTGAGCTCCCTCACTTCAACTCCCCTGAAATTGCTGACCTAAAATTAAACAAATGAAAATAAGTAAAATTTTGAGATAATTTGAAATTATAATGGAAATTTTGGGGAACTTCTTTTTCAGATGAGTCCACTTATGTGTCACCCTTAAAAGAGAGGATTCAAACCTCTCAGAGACAATGGAATGCAGTATTTGATTAATATGCAGAAGCTTCTAAAAGACAAAATGATTTCCAAAACAGCTCTAAAAAGGAGCCTTACAGCAAAAAGAAAAGATTCTTTCATAAAAATATTTCGCCATCTGAACAGGTCTATCTCGTAGAAGAACAGTTTGGACCAAATTATTCTTTTGAGTTTTGTACCAGAGAACTGTTTAAAAATTTGAAGCTATCTGTTTGTGTCTATCTGTCTCTATATGTATTTGTCTTCCTCTGAATGTCATTATTTCTAAAGGAACTCTATTTAAGTGCCTTGAAGTAAGTGCTTATACAATTTACTTTTAAATGTAATAAAAACGAACTCAAATGTCTTTCAAGCTAACATGATATAAAATGATCTTTGGTAAATGAAACCTTACTTATGTTTGTTTGATTAAAATAAGCATGTTTTCAGAGTTATCAACATTGGATATGATACAGACATGTTATCTCTTCTACAAAACTTATCAGTAAAAAAAATAGACTAATAGCATATTTTATTTGATGTCTCATAAGGCTTTTGTAGGCAATCTAAATATAATTGTTGGTAGCAAGTAAATTAAATAGATGAGAAAAAGATAAAGACCTTTTGGGGAAATTTTTAACATTAATTATGTGTTATAGTATATGTACTTAAAACAACTTAAGATAAAGGGTAAATGCTTTAATGTCATGTGAAGATTTGTGAATTATCTAAACATAATTGTTGGGAACAAATAATTTAAACAGATAAAAATGTGTAAGAGCATTTGGATGCAATAATAATGTTTTATGGCATGTATGCTTGAAAAATAGCTTCCATAATCTTTTTGGTAACTTAAAACTTTATAGTTTCGTTAAATTAAACAATGAAATTTCTTTGACTATCTGGATAAATTTCCAAATAAGATAAAATATTAATAATTGATTACTAAGCATAAATTTGTCTGTCTTTTGCCTCTCATTTTAGAGAGACTGAAAAATGCTTGTGTTTGTTGATAAACATGTTTTATGCATGCTCAGAAATTTTCCATGATAGAACATAAATTTCCAGAAAGTCTATACACAAGGAAAGTATAATGTATGTTTTCAGTAAAGAAGGTATAAAAATTATAGATACTTTTGTTTGTTTTGTTAAGATAAATTTTCCTCAAGTACTAGGAAAGAAAGCATGGGACAAATTTTGAATGTTAAAAGTAAGGTACAGAAGGTTTGTAGAAGTAAAAACCTGAGGAGTTTTATGCATGGTCAAGTTGGCTAAAATGAATGAAATGAATTTAATCAAGTAAATAAGTTTCAATATCAAAAGTAAACTGGTGAAAAATTAACATTTGGCTTTCTCTTTCTTAACAAGATAATTTTATTGAACTTTTGGTCTGCTCTTGATGAAGAAGATATAAAAAGTTTTTCTTTACCTTTGTGTTAGTCTACCTAAAAGAGAGAAAATTTATTTAGCTAAGAAAAATTCATATATTCAAAAAGGTTGAGAATTCTCTATTGAGTTTTTTTATTATTATTATTTTTATTATTATAATTATAATTATTATTATTATTATTTTTATTATTATTATAAAATAATAATTATTATTTTATTATTATTATGTCTATCTCTTTGATAGAATAGGTAACTAAGAACTGTTTCCTATTTGGCCAAGTGTTTTAAAATCTCTTGATGTTTTTCACAAATTTTCCCCCAAATTAAAATCTTTCCTTAGACTTAAAAAGGATCTTTGAGAATTTCCAATAGGCCATGGAACTTCTCAAAGAATTTGTTCTCTCATTCTTTATGGAGAAAAATATTGACGTAATTAGGCTTATTTGGTATGTTAAATTACATGAGACACATTGTCAAATACACGATGATAAACCCTCTTAGGTTTTATTGTGTGGGTAAATGCTACTAATATAAATGTTATTATTAAAAATTTATATAACATTCGAAAAATTCTTATCTGTCCTGGTTGTCAGTCATAATTCTAGTTATTATCTCAAAGAGTTGTATGTCACAGAAATAGACAGCTGTCATTGTCAATTGGCATTTTTGTGTGTTTTGTTATTTGCAGATAGTTGTTGTTTTACTCTGATGTTTTTGCAAACACGTTTCATCTTCGGAGAGATTCATGGAAAGGATTCTGACACACATTCTAAAATAGAGGTTTGTGATAAGCTTTCAAATTATAAATCTGAGCTGGGTGAGAAATTACAGAACTCTAATGGAGAAACTGATGGCCTCTAAAACTGTTAACAAAAGATCAAAAATTGATTAGATGGGACTAAATAACTTGATGAGGATGATTATAAGTTTCATGACTTTTTGTTTAAAATATCCCGATTATTTGGATGTTTTGTTTTTCCAGGTTTAAGGAATCTTTTTCTCTTTTCTCTTAAGCCAACACTGACTTATAGCAATTTTTAAGCAGAATTGAAACATTTATCTTTTTCTCCCTACCTGATTCCACCTGAATTTGAAAACTCTTAATGAGTGAGTATTCTTATTTTCACGGCAATGTATGTATTTACATAAGTACAATAAGAATCTGTTCAACTTATAGCAGGACACAAATTGGAAAAACTTATTATATTGCCAAGTCTTTGACTTGAATGTCATATGAGAGAAACATGCATAGACTCAGATATGACCGTACAAGTTTAAGGAACATGGATTGACTTTATATAACAAATGATGCCACTTGGAAATATTGGCCTGGTCCCTTGCTTGTAGGGTTCCCAGCAATGTTACCAGGTGAATAAAGAAGGTCACTTCCCTGGCAGGTGCAAGAACCTCAAGTATTTGGGGGTACTTGAGAAGAGAGGAATTCATCCAAATCTATTGAGTGTTGCAGGCAGAGTCTGAGGACAAGTTCTTGGCTTGGTTTCTCTAGCCTCAAGAGGTCTTTAAAGTTTAATTAAATTCCTTATAAAAAGTCCCAGCACAGCAGATTTAAAAGAGCATATGATGAATTGCTATTCTTGCTGTACTTATGTAAATAATTGGGCCAAGGTTCTTGAAACTAGACTGATTTTGCAAACCAATGAATCTTAATTTGGTTATTGTTTGCAAAAATAGGGTGATTTTAGAGAGAAAAAAATATATTTGCATCGAAACTATACCACACATTTGTAGATGTTGGATGCTGGTTCTCTTAATTGTCTTTGAGGTGTTAGTTAACTATCGATCCACTGGATTGGATCCTGAATTCTTCTGGTTTCCTCAAATACCTGGTCCAAACTAACATTTTCAATTTTTTCCCTCCTTGTAATTTGGATTCATTGAAAACTGTGACCTTTCTTATTCCTGAAGCCCTGCAAACAGACCACAAGTGGCATTCAAAAGATGGTCTCGTAACGATAAGCAATGGATGACACTCAGGTTCTTACTTGAATTGTTGGACTATTAGACAGCAGGCTACTTGACTACAAGAGATTTCACCTGAGGTTCTTGGCACCAACCTTGATTGGTTTACAGGCCTCTTCTCTTGGATTCCCCAAGGACAGAGGTCTATTATGAAGGGGATACTAAAATTTGGGCAGTATATTTTGCAATCTGTGTCGTTGCCTATGTAATTATAAAATGTGTACTTAAGTGTTCTTCCAAAGCCATTGACCAGAGTTCAAAAATAATAGTCATGCAAAGAATATCTCACTCTCCCCACTTGGTGTCCCAAATATTTTTTGAAAAAAGGTAAAACAGTTTCATACCTCTGACTCTGACCTTTACCTTCTTATAGCAGCAGGTAGGTAGGTCTTCACCCCAATTACCCAAGATTGAGAAATGATCATATGACTGTGGGCATTGAAACTGAGAATGACAGAGAAAAAGTCTTCCCCAGAGCAAAAACTTTGAGATAACCTTTACCAACTGTAGCTATGCATACTCAGCATAATAACCTGTTGTTTAAAACTAATTCTTTCTGTCTCTCCTTAATATATGAGTGAGGTCTTTTTCTCAGGAAGTCAAGGTCCAGATGTCGAGATTAAGCCTCACAAGGCCAATTGCAGGCTGAAGATGAAAACTAACTAGAAGGGCTGGCCTGGTGGCATAGCAGTTAAGTTCGCTCACTCTGATTCAGTGGACCAGGTGCATGGAATTGGATCCCGAGTGCAGACGGACACACCACTTATCAAGCCATGCTGTGGTGGTGTCCCACATAAAATACAGGAAGATGGGCATGGATGTTTGCTCAGGGCCAAGCTTCCTTAGCAAAAAGAAGAGGATTGGCAACAGATGTTAGCTCAGGGATAACCTTCCTCACATAAAAAACACAAAAAACAAAACAAAACAAAACGAACCAGAAAGTCCAGATACTGAGGGGAAAGGAAATACAGTTTTCATGGCCCAATGCAGGCTGGTAGGAATGCACTAACCAGCAAGGCGACATGCTCCCCCTCTCTTACCTAAAACTCCAACCCATTCTCCCCTCACCTACCTACAACACAGCACAGGATCCTGCTCCTTTACCTAAAACCCCAGATAAAAACCTCTGCCTCTTTCCCTTTGGGGAGGTGGTTTTGAGTTTTAACTACCATCTCCTCATCTGGCTGCCTTTCAAAAACAAACCTCTTTTCTTGTCACCACCCTGGCATTCGAGTTATAGGCCCTCTTATGTGATGGCTAAACAAATCTTTGTTTCTCTTTGGTCACACCATTACACAGAATGGAGCTCACTGGCCATTGGCAGCATTCCTCCTGCCTCAAACAATTTCCTGACTGTGATGGGACACAGGACTCTTCTCGACTGGCTGGGTTAAAAGCTCTCTGTTTGGCCCTCTTAAGATTACCTGACCAGAGACCTACTTGAGGGCCATGTTTTTACTTATTCATGGGCGGCTGCTAACGGTCCTATGACATGGCCTGGAAGATGGACAAAGCATAATTTTTTATTACATGGAAAACCAGCTTTGAGCAGTCCACATTTGACAGGTGTTGGTGGATTTTCTTCTCCCATTAGGGTTACCCATGTCTCAGCTCTCACCCTGTATGGTCCGTATAAGGACAGACCAAGAAATGAAAGAGTCAGGAGGCCTCACCCAGAAGCAAATCTTTTTAAAGGAGAAATGTAGAGGGAATGAGTGAAGACATATTTAACCTCAATTTAATTTATCACTAAATCACTTAATTTATCACATCAATCACTTAATTGATGTAGGCTGTGTGTCTCCAACCTTGGCACAGATGACAAGAATGGCAGAGCAGCTTCTGACTAGTTCCCTCAAAGCCACATCTGCTCTCTTTCAGATTGGCAGTTCAGGAAGCTGAACTGATCTTCCCCTTCATAAAAGCTGTAATCAGAAATTATATCTATTCCATTCTGTTAGAAATTTAACATAATGCTATTGTGTTCTAACCCTTGAAAATAGCTAACTAATATTCATTATGTATAAGGCAGTCCTACCATATCCTAGTGTCCATATTTAATGTTGGAAACCCATTTATCAATATTCCTAACTTGGAGCAAATTTGCTCAACCCACACTATATTTCCACAGAAAATAAATAGAATTGAAACTTTGATTTTTCATACTTTTCAGAAATTAATTAAGAGAACAACCACCATCCCTTCCCAAAGCATGGAAAACTCACCATGACTCAGGTCTGTGAAGGAGTGGAGTAAAATAAGAAGAATTTTAGTACTAAGCTAGATACATTATATATATATATATATATATATATATATATATTATATATTATATTATTAAGTGATATATTATATATATTATATAATATATATTATATATATTATATAATATATATTTTATATATATATATATATACACCTATATATTTAAATCAACACTACAATAAGTACAGTGCTTGTCAGATTTAGACCTCATCAAAAGGGGTGCATCCTTCCTTCGTTTCTTCAGAAGCTAATACTCAGAATACAATATGACCAAAGCAAAGGTTAGAACAGAGTTATGTTTAGACAACAGCCCACTTCATTTGAGGATGTTTAATTGCTTAAAAAGGAGAAAAGGTAACTCCAACCAACTACATAAAACACTATAATTCCCCTTGAGTGCACCTGGATATTAAAATTTAACAACATTATGACAGATCACCTGCTATTGAATGTGTGACCTCAGTGGGACAGATGGCAGTGGGAGTTGAATAATCAGAGGGCTGAATAAGGAAGAAAATTCAGCAGGTGAAATTCAAATAACATCCATAATCAGAGAGGGAACAAAGGAGGGTCAGGCAGTGGAATAGCAACTAGTATATTCTTGATCCCAGTGCCATCAATTTGTGTTCTCTATAATTGAGGTCATGGATCAAATCTCAAACATCCCCAAAACAAAGTAGTCAATGGGGCCACCCTATTCTGGACAACCTCCGCAATGATCGTAAATGATCCTTGGAACTTCTAAGCTGGTGGCTCTACTAGAGTCATTACGTGTGAGTGCAGGATCCACTGAGAAAAGAGAAGCTCTGCACCTGGCTGTTGGGATTTGTAAAAAACTCCATTGAATATGTAAATCACTTTGGATATTATTGCTATCCTAATATTAACTCTTTTAGCTATGAACATGATTGTCTTTCCATATATGTGCACCTTTAATTTCTTTAAGTAACTTTGTAATTTTAATTATACAAATCTTTTGCCTCCTTGGTTGAGTTATTGCTAATTATTTTATTCTTTTTCACGCTCTAGTAAATGAAATTGTTTATTTTTAATTTCCTTCTCAGATTGTTCATTGTTAGTGTATAGAAATGTAATTGATTTTTCTGTGTTGATTTTGTATCTGGTGCCTTTACTGTGACTGTCTATTAGTTCCAACGGCTCGCTGTTTGATCTTTAAGGTTATCTACATGTAAGATGATGTCATCTTGGAACAGAGACCATTTTGATTCTTCCTTCCCAATTTGGATGAATATTATTTCTTTTCTTTGTCTTATTGGTATATGGAACTTCCAATTCCATGTTGACTATGAGTGGCAAAAACAGGCAAATATTTCCTATTAGTGATCTTAAGGGGAAAAGCTTCCAGTCTTTCAGCATGGAGCACAATGTTAGTTGTGGGGTTTTCATGTATGGACTTCATTGTGCTGAGGGAGATTCTTTCTCTTTCTAGTTTGTTGAGTGTTTTTTCTCATGCAAGGATGTTGAGTTTCTTCAAGTGCTTTTTTCATATCAACTGAGAGGATCATGTAGTTTTTACTGCATCCTGTTAAAAGTGGTCTATTGCATTTACTTATTTTTGTATGTTGAACATCCTTGCATGGAAGTAATGAATCCCACTTGGGCATGGGTAAAATTTTTAATATGCTGCTGACTTCAGTTTTGTCTTATTTTTTTGAGAACTTTTAATTCTCAAACCATATGAAATATTTGACTTACTTTATTTTCTCATAGAATGCTTGTCTGGCTTTTTATAGGGTAATGCTGGCCTCATAGAATGAGTTAGACAGTGTACAGTCCTCTTCAAATTTTTGCAAGAGTTAAGAACGATTGTTGTTAATTCTGCTTTAAAGGCTTGGTGGAATTCGCTAGTGAAGCAATGAGGTCTTGGGCTTTTCTTTGTTGGGAGATTTTTAATTACTGATTCAATCTCCTTATTTGTACGTCTACTCGGGTTTCATATTCATTCATAATTGTGTCGTTTAGGTCATGTGTTTCTGGAAATTTTCCATTTCATCAGGATTTCTAAATTTGTTGGCATAAAATTGTTCGTAGTATTCTCTTTTCAATTTCTTTATTGATCTTCTGTCTGCTAGTTTTATCCATTAGCGAAAGTGAGTTATTGATATTTCCAACTAGTTTTATATAGTGGTATTCATTTCTCCCTTCAGTTTTGTCAATGTGGGTTTCATATACTTTGGATCTTTGATGTTTCATACACATATGTTTACAATTCTTCTAAATTCTTGGTGGATTGACACTTTTATCAATATACAATATCCTTTTTGTCTCCTGTCACAATTTTGGTCTTCAAATTTTGTTCATCTGTTACTTGTATAGACATGCTAGCTCTCTCTCAGTTGTACATGGAATATCTTTTATCATTTTTCCCTTTCAAATTATTTTTGTCCTTAGATCCAAAGTAAGTCAATTATAGAGAATATAGTCTTGATCATGTTTTTCTAATCCATTCTATCCAACTATATCTTTTGATTGGGGGATTTTATTTACATTAAAACTAATTATTGATATGGAAAGAGTGACATTTTTATTTTTTTCTATATGACTTATGTCCCTTCTTTTCTCCATTGATACCTTTCTTTGTGTTTAGATGATTTTTTCTTAAACAACTTGTTTTGATGCCCTTCTTATTTTCCATTGTGTATATTCTATGTTTATATTCTTTGTGGTTACCATGAGATTACAGATAACATTATAATGTTATAACAATCTATATTGAATTGATATCAATTTAGCTGAAATAGCATACAAAATCTCTAGTCTTATACATCTCTGTTCCCCTCTCCAAATCCATGATATTGATGTCACAAATTTCATCTTTATACATTGTGTACATATTAACATACATGCATAATTATTTTTATACATTCATCTTTTAAATGTTGGAGAAATGGTAGAATTACAAAGTAAATTTATAAAAGTACATTATTTTATATTTGCCCATATATTTACCTTTACCAGAACTCTTTCTATATTCAGATGGCTTAAATTTACCGTCTGGTGTCCTTTCACTCAACCTGAATTCCTCCCTGTACATTCCTTTTCAGTCTGTACCAATAGTAATGAATTCTTTGAGGTATTGTTTATCTGAGATTATCTTAATTTCTCCCTCATTTTTGAAGGAAATTTTTACCTGATATAGATTTCTTGGTTGACAGTTTTTCTTTTTCTTTCAGTACTTTAAATATGTCATCCTAATACTTAATGTCCTCCAAAGTTTCTGATGAGAAACTGTTGATAGTTCTACCTAGGATCCTTTGTGCCTGATGAGTCATGTTTCCTTTGCTGCTTCAAGATGGTCTCTTGTCTTTGTTTTTCAACATTTTGAATATAACATATGTGGGTGTACACATCTTTGAGTTTATCTTGCATGAAATTCTTTGAGTCTCTTGGATTCATTGATTATTCAGGTCTTATATCAAGTTTGAGGTGTTTTTGTTCATTATTTCTTCAAATAATCTCTCTGTCCCATTCTCTTCCTCTTCTCCTTCAGGGACTCCAATAATGTATATATTAGTCCACATGATGGTGTCACATATGTCC